TTAAAAGGCATAAAGGATTTCAAGCTGGTAATATTCAATGTCAGTTACAACAAACGTTTGTCAATGTTAAACGGTAATCGACGTAATGTGCTTACTTATGCCATCGAAATAATCGTTTCTATCCATTCAACTCACGCAGAATGATGTGACTGCTTAACTTGCATGATCTTAAGTCAAACTTACTCATTGTTCAAAAAATTTATTACCAGGCCTACCTTAAGATGGTTACCAGTATATCCTGCTTCTTGAGTATATGAATAGCAAACAAATCTTGACAGAAAAGAGTGTAGTTGTACACAAAGCGATTAAAACTGTAGTGTTGACAGAAAGCAACAATACTGTCACGTCCTCCAGCGTTTCAGCATTGACTAGCTAATCCATGTTAGTTATCCCTGACCTTAAGGCCATTTGGCTAACGACTTAACATCTAGTGATATGTTTTCTATGCGAAGAATAATTTGGGTAAAGTTCATCGTGATTTTGTTGACACTATACCTCAAGGGCTAGGTGATTAGTGACCTATTCATGCATATTTAAAATATTATTTATCTTTAAGTACTCTAAGCTGGTACAAAACTATCAAGCCATTTGGCTGGATCATTACGTGGTTAATGAAACCAAGGAGAGACGTGGCAGACTATCAAATTAATGTGCCATAACATGTGGCTATGAAGAGTACTGATGTTAATGTTTGAGAATTTCAACTAAAATGTGGGAAACAGACGACAAATAAGGGTTATTCCTTAGTTAAAAAAATAACCTAAGCCAATTCAGTAAATATTCATGAATAATGTTTATGTAGCTGTTCCGGGGCTAACATAACACTTATTCTCCTATTAATGTAACAAGAAGTTGTGAATCGAATAAATTTTATCACAGGATTATATACCCTCATTTTTTAATCAAGGATGAAGTAAATTATATTTGAATTACGAGTAAATGTATAGTTGGCAAATTATTTTTAAGAATGACAGCTGATGGTAAGACTGGCTGTAAAGATACACAACAGACCTCAACAAGGGAAAAACAGACAACAGTTAACTTTCCAAAGTCATCGACATGTTATATGTCATCAACATTTCTTTAAAGCTTCAGTGGTAAGAAAATCTTAATGTTGTATTTCAAATCTCTAAGTATTTACGGATAAGACTGCAAAAAAAGTATCGTCTTTTGCTGATTGTGAAAGTAATCTATGCGGATTGATAAGAATATACTTTGAAAACGTGCTCTCTGTTACATAAGGTTACAAACAAAATTCAGTATTATACTGTTTAATGTGTTTTGAGAAGTGGGTTATTTAAATCACATTAGCAATATGGTTATTATCTTAAGAAACTCATCAATACAACCAAACTAATTGAAACTATAAGAGTAGGAAACAATTTTGTATTGTGGACTTCTCTGTAGTGGTTCATCAACTTGATATTTGACCAACTTTCCAAGTAATTCTTTAATGTTCGTAGTTATTTTCCCGTAGATATAAGTGTCCAGCATTTCTTGCTTATCACTTTCTGTCAGTGAATATGTAAATATTGTTCATGGGTTTATTGGACTTAAATATAAATCGAAATTGTAACTCGTTCAACTTTACTTTTGGTGTGAACTTTGATTAAAAGTATCTATTTAAAAACTGTTAATGATATGAAAATGATTCATAGGTCATTGAGGAAATTTTTAGATTTTCGAAAGAAATCTCTTTAGGTACCAACATAATTTGATTTTCATCGGAAATAATAATAATTTGTTGTGGTTGGTATTCAATATAATCCTTAAACTTTGTATACAGTTCGTCTTGATAACCGTTACTAGATAACGCCCCAACAGTGTATTAATCAAAAGGTGAATACGAAGTGCTGATCATGTTTATTATGGGACTACACACAGATATCCGAAATTACAGGTACGTCAAACAAACATGAAAGAGTTGTGCCGAAAGACAAGCAGGCAAGCGAATATGAGTACAATTAAACGAGAGAGAGCAGTGAACATGAATTACATGGACATATATATACACAGTGAAATGAATGAATCATCGAATCAATTGAGCGGTTAGTAGTAAGGCCAGCAGCGTGAATAAATGAGTGTGAAGTTAGCAATGCTCAAGCATACATGTTCATACATTCGCAACATTAATAAAGATACAATGATATAGATAAGTTGTTGTTGTACGGATGACTCAGTTCGTTAATAAGTTAACAAAATGACCTAACCGAATTAAATGTGAACCAACTCAATTGCGCGTGAGTTGCTATAACTTTATGATTTTGAAATGCTAGCCTTTTAGGAATTGAAACCGATGTATCACATTAAGATTGATAGAAATGCTACAAAAAATAGTCAGTGAATATTATATAGAGGAATTTATGGTAGTCTATAGGTGGGTACTGAAAATTGAACTGAATATAAGCTTACTACTCAATATATATATGAAATAAACTACAGTAAACCTCATACCTTAAAAGTAATGCACATTAATGACACTTGCTAATGAAAACACTAAAAATACCATTAATAGTAGGATTTCGAAATTCTGTTCTGTTAATACTTTAAATTGAAGTAAAAAGTGAAGTAGAATGTCCTATATAATGCAATTATCCGAAATATAGTAAAAAAATAATTGATTTTACGTTTAGAGAAGAGGCTCATCTAAAACAAACCTTCACGATAAATACATAGATACTTATCGATTAGTGGTATCATGATGCTTCGCATAACTGTGAGCAGTCATATCAGATTCTATTCATTTGTACAGGTGTAGTGAACACGAACACTGATGGGGAACAATCGAATGTAATTGACACGAAATTACAGAACTTGTTAATAAAATCTAACAATCATAAAGTAAATGCTCAATTTGCAAAATGTCCACCAGTTGTCTCAAAATGACTTAGACTTCATCGTTCTCGCATTTTCATACAAATTGCATTGTGTTTCCATTCTTTACTGTTTAATCCTGTTGTCTTTCTGCTGCCAGACCTGTTCACGAGTAACGTCATATACTACTGATGTCAATATAAGTAGCACACACCATACAGGAAGTTGATGAATGAAGGATATAATAAAAAAACTAACATGCATTCTAAAGAATGATTCATGTTAATAGATCAATGTAACAGATATTTGAATTATTTTAGAATGGTACACTCCATTTTTACAGGAAAACAGTAAGAACTTATGGTAAAGTCGAGAGCAGTAATGCTATTGTATAGAGACAGACGATATTTGTTAGAAATTGCATGCACATTACATATTTTTGTACGACTGAAGAAGCCACAGTTTGTCCAGAAGTATATTATGCTTCAGAGCCATGATAATGAGGTAACATAACAGAAACAAGATGAAATATATGTTTTAATCCCTAATGAGTTTCAGTCGTGATATTATCTTTCTTCCTAATGTAATTTCAGCGCTTTAGAAGATTGTAGGAATCGTTGATATTGACCTGTTTCCTGATGGTTGACTCAAGCAAATCAACCGAGGGTCGAGTTTTGAAAAATCGAAGGTGGGACTATAAATTACGGACGACATTTCAGCGGCTCCAAAATAACCATGAGGCAATGCGGCTACTTCCCAATGTTAAAAAAGAGTAATAAGTTAATATGAGGAATTAGGAATTGGATTTAGAGTTAGAACTCAAGGTTACGAATTAATGTAGAGGTTTTAAAACAATGCTTGGTTTCATTGTTACGCAAATAGGACATTAATTTACCTTAGACGACTATCTACACTAGATACCATCTCAGTGTCTGTTCTATGACGTCAACAGCAACCAAAACGTAAGTATTTTTCCACGCCAACAACCAATAATGATCACAATTATAATAATTGTAGGAAAATATATAACTTATCCTATACCTTTCAAAGTATCTTCTACTAGTCTGACAAAGCAATCAACCAATCATTATTTTCCTCGTCCATACATCAATTTTTTTATCACGAACTGAACTGTAATGATAACTATATGGATAAATGAATTTAGTGCCCATATCCAAGATTTGCTGTTCATAAGTCCATTCGTTCATCTATAAGTCATAGTCTCAGCAAACCAAAAATATAGGGTCGTATGCTGTTACAACATATCTTCAGACTTTTCTTTTTCAACAGTGAGAATTCGTGTGTGTTTTCTAATGACTAATCTCTAGCGTATTATGGAATTTGGTGTTATTTTGTAAATGTCGTATTTACTGTTGAGTCAGTTCATAGATGTTAGACATTCCCTCTAAACGATCTTTTCCGCTACCAGATAAGGATCAACATCACTTTACAGGATCAAAAAATATTATCAGGACTGATAAGCAGTTATACGACTTCTAAAAGATAAATCATTAAACAGTTGAATACAGTAATTTCATTTTTATATATCATGAAAATTAGCTATTACTCATAGATTGTGTAGGCTGAGTATGAATGACTTTAACTAGGTGATGATGAGAATCATCACAATGAACAATTGATCCATTTAAGATATGAGAATAATGTATACATAGATCCTAGTAATAAATATGCTTTCATTCCATCAAGTGCATGGACGTTATCAATTCTTGATCTAAAACTATCAATGATAAAAGTGAATTACAATAGGATTGACATGAAAATAGAACAAAAAGTATGAGAAGTATTATGATTGTTAAGAAAAATCAACTCTGATTATTCATTTGATCAATGAAGTATTGACATATTTATCGGCTTTTAACACCATTAATAATGATCATTAAGGGTGTGACAATTATATGATATTGATAAATTGACACATATTTTATGAACAATCTATAGGAGATTTTATGAATACAATGTCATAATTGAAAATAAAGACACTTGTTTTATATTAAATCGATGGTATTTTAAACAAATAAATGTCAGTTCCGATAAAAAAAATATCAAAGAGAACAATGAATACACTTTATGTAAGTTCAAATATTATAACCATATAACTTAATGAAAATTATCATGTTTTATAGTGTAGTATATTTATTGTGGTAATTATATATGCCTATTTCGATATGGTAAATGGTGTACCGGGTATGTTAAAAGAATTTCATTTTATTGCAAAACTTATTTTAATGAATAGAATTGTTCAATTATAACTAAAGTAATATTAGTGAAGATTTATCTTTATCACATAAAACAAACGATTTCGATTTATTTAATATAAAATCTATTAAATAAGACGAAAGTGAAAAAAGAATAAGTGTAGTATTTTGTTTCATTTCTATCTTTTTAATTGAATCTCATGAATTGAAAACATTTTTGAATGAAATCATGAACCGATTGGTGTTAGACAACCGTTGAAAACCTTGAAGGACAGGACGGCCTTTTGGTCCTATTGTGGGACTCCTCAGGGGTGTGCATTTACGATCCCGCGCGCGAACTCTTAACCTACTGGACCGGTGAGCCGGCATGCAATGTTTTTAGTGTCTAACATCAATCGGTTCATGAACTCAATCAAAAACTGAATACTCTCCACAACCCTTATACTTGCAGAAAACATTTTTCTCAGAGTGCATCAGTGCATTACATAATATACGGTGAGATGAACAGCAAAAATAGTACTGTAATGAATAAGAACACAAGTAGGGGAAATTTGTATTTGAGCACAAAGTTACAGAACATCTCACCGAAATCTGAGAACCACATAGTAAATAGTTAATTTGCAAAATATCAATCCATTGTCTCAAACTTGACTATTTCATTTGCGAATAGCAGTCCATCGTCTACGACTTCATTGTTCATGCATTTCATACCATTTGCTCTCGGTTCCCGTTCTTTCGTTCAAGATCTTCTACTGAAATACATTCTATTCCTGACTATCGTTATATATTACTTATATGTATATAGGTAGCGCACGTCAGAATACTACTATTCATGCTTTCAAATGCTTCTGTACTAAATTATTCACTTATTTGCTATACATGAAACTTAAACAAAATCGCTTTATTTCTTTTACTTTGATTATATTTCAGAGCCTAATAAATTTGTCGATGAAGGTGAGTATAACGTTTAGCTTAAATATGTTGAATGACATTGAAAAAATGTTTTGACTGCTTAGTTGAATGATAATTGCATAAGTCACAGAGTAAATATCAATTATAAGATGCAAGTACATCCAGTTGATGAATCCTAAATATGACAAAATGTGCGTCCTAGATTCCGCAGCTAACCACCATCCATCTTTGCTTATAATGTTTGTAATTTAAAGTATTATCAAAGCAATCCGTACTGAATGTACATGTGCCACCAAGAGACTAATCAATTTCAGTCCTAAACATCTATGAGAAGATTCAAGTTAACAATACGAAGTGAATTTATAAGTTGTAATTGTTTTATAAACAAATAAAATGTCTAGCAGCATGTATCATTACGATTGTAGATTGAAATATACATGGCGTTTATTAAATTTAGAATAAATTCACCTTATTATATTTTGTATCAGATGTGTTTAAATGAAGTATGGTAATATTTGAAAATGTTTATTTATCCTCAATGATGAAAACCATATGTATGGTTTTTGCTAAGATTATATGATGGATTAGTCTGTAAGACTTCATGGGGACTAATATGTTGTAAGAACAGTTTGAAATATTTAACAAAGATTCTTAACTTATTGAATCTGTTTGATTCAAGTGTTTAGATAAACATGTTGCTACTAATTAAGTAAGATAATTAGATAAAAGGTAATAATAATAGAATGATACATTCACTCAGTTTAAGTCTTTGTACCTCTTTTTCATAGATGGAGTACCGGTGAGAGGAAAACCTGGTGAGTTAACAGTTTCATCAGGATATTTCATTAAATTTAGAGTACATAATGTTTGAATATTAGTTCATTTTGTTCTTATTAGTGTCACTGGTATATAAACTAAATTTATATAATACATACACTAAGAGACAACTAAATTTTCGGTTTGCTAGATAGAATTAATTACAAGTGTTTGTTCGATTACGCTTGGAACACTTATTCCCAAATTAATATACATCAATAATTTGAAAGTATATAGAGAAATTTAACAAGGCATCTATTAACTGTGAAATGTAATATAAGATAATCAAAGTATGTTCCTGTTTTATGTAGATTTTAGACGAATCTAACAGAACACCACTTTATTACTTACTAACTAACACCTGTTACCCCTCATGGAGGAGCATAGGTTACTCACCAGTATTCTCTATCCAAATTCTGTTTTGAGCAATCTTTTCTAGTTCTTTCCAGTCGCTATTCATCCCTTTTTATATCTGCTTCCAATCCTCGACGCAGTGTATTCTTTAGCCTACCACTTTTCCGTTTCCCTTCAGGACTCCAAGTTAGCGCTTGCCTCATCATGCAATTCGAAGATTTCCTCAATATATATTCTATCCACTTTCAACGTTTTTTCCTAATTTCCTCTTCGGCTGGAAAATAATTTCTGATATTTCAAGAAAAGTACATTAATAATTTCTATACATAAACAAAATTGTTTGGAATAAAGTAACATGTCAAATAATTTAAGTTATAAATTACATTCATTTTCTTAACTGTAGATTTTATGGTAAATTGTCATCTTAATTGTAAAACATAATAACATCCTAACTTATTTATAAACAGAGGAAAGAAATTTATCACATTTAATAAAATCAATTTGTTTTAAAATTATAATTAAAGTAAAATAAGTGATTTCGGCTGTTGAGATCATGAGTCAATTGAAACTAGACCACCATGAAAAACCCCGAAGCACTGGATGACCGTTTCGTTCTATTGTGTGAATCTTGAGCAGCGCGCATCCACGATCCCGCCTCAAGAGATTCGAACCCACGACCTATCAGTCTGGCGCGCGAACGCTTAATCTCTGGACTACTGGACTGATCGGCATCCAACGGTGTTAATACCTAACTTCAACTAATCCACGAAATTGTGTGACACATCCACCATTGTCATCAGTGAGTTACTATCTCACGACTGACCCAGTTGAACTCCACTGGTCACTACTTTTCACTAGAATTCCAGGATAAACATTTTAAAGCTAGTGCTTCCAGGTTTTCCATGGTGGTCTAGCTTCAATTAACTCATGATCTCATTTATTGAAATGACTAACATTTCGACAAAATCCTTTCTGATACCAAAATAAGTGAACTGAATGATAAACAATTGATAAGAATTCACTATGATGGGCAGCTTATGCTCCTACACGAGGAGTAATAGGCGTAAGTAAGTAAATTCACTTGATAATATCATTTAATAAGATTTCCAATAGACATTTGAAGTACATTAAAGTGAACAATAAAGCCATAATTTAAAAAAATAATTGTATTGTGATTCTGTCATATAATAATAAATGATGTTGTTTTGATACTGTATTTTTCTTATAATGTTCATTACTACTTTTCTTTTTTATAGCTACTCCAATCAAAGTATCTGCTGTTAAGATACCAGTGAATAAAACAATGAACGTACAAAGTGAGAATTTGTATGATTGAGCTATAGTTCATAAATACTTATATATAATTCAAATGAAATGAATAATTTCTAGTAATTTATAAAAAAAGTTAAATGCTACTAGCAATTCATAAGATACTTTCATTTATCATAAAGAAGAAGATTCTATTAATTCAATGAAAGTAAATATTATGATAGAAGAAAGTAATTTATGACATAAATAAAGATTATGATCTATGTAAATAGAGTTTCTGTAATAGCCAAATGTAATTCGATTGAACATTGTTTATTACTTTAACATAAGACAAAATGACTTAATGTTTGGTTTCAAACAGAAAATATTGTTCATTTACTGAACTTTTTGTAAATTTAATCGAAAGTATTTGGGATGTTAATTTATCAGTTTATTAATTAAATACAAGTCATTACTTTAATCACAGAACGTAATACAAATTTACTATTATAGACAGAAAATCAAATCCTGTGGAATTGATGAAATGATTATTTGCCTTAACGTACGTAGATGGATGTGAAAAATGAAACAACAAAATGAATTCACATGATCTAACTAATTCTTTGAACAAATGTTCAAAATCATTTCATAACTATCATTATTTTGAGTTGTCATTCTGTCAAATTACCACGTTTTAACTAGTGAGAGTTAAAATTATGTTTTATAAGCAGTGTTATAAATTCAGTGTTATTTTTCTTAATGTTAACCTTTTAAACAGCCACACCATCTAAAGAAAAGAAGCAAAAAAGTAAGAAATTAAATCATTTCATTTAAAACGTTTTATGACATTCTTACCTGAACTCTAATTCTGTAACCCAACAGATATCTAATATGTTCCGAGCTGAAGGAATACACAATATATAAATCAATCTACGGTGACCAATAACTAATGTGAATACCACTCCCCCCCAAAAAAACTTGTATTTTAATTTCTAGCTAGAACCTGAAAATTACCATTTGTGTATATGTTGACCACTTGACAATTGTTTAATACTTACATTTAAGATGTGGATCGTTTTCGTAGGAAAATGTTTCACTTTGACTGTATTTGGCATATACATAGAATTAAACAATCAGTAAAGACATATTTATAATCACTAGTTGTGCTAACAGATTATACTTTAGAGATCGGATTTTTTAAAAACCATGTAAATTTCACGTCGGAATGTAATTTATCATTAAGGATATTCGTAGTGTATTGTATTTGATGCATATTTTTTTCATGACTGAATTGTTTCCTGTGTAACAAAATAGAATAATTGCCATTAGCACAACATTTTCATTTTATCTGAGTGATAGAAATAATTGCAGAAAATGCAATTTGTTTCCCAGTAGATAATTTTCAGCCTTGAATGTAAATTATATTCTTACAGTTTTATTTGTAGAATTTACAGTCTATTCTTTATCCTATATTCTAAGCACATATACCGAAACATTGCTCCAACAATATAATGGAATCATTGAGTGTTTGTACATAAATTTCGTCAGATGATGTCTTGAAGTCTGTATATGTGCACTTGATTTAATATACTGAAAACATAGTGATTTCATGATCTATCCTAATTTCCAAGTGGTATTTCTTATACTCATCATAAGTATACATTTAGAAAGTGGTCAACAAGAACCAATCAACATCGAAGTGTACAGGACAAGCTGAGAACCACATGTGGAGAAATTCGAACAGTTCACCTCTACGTGAAATCTGTGTTGATGATGTCGTTCAAAATAACGATGAAAGCTCCACCACCAAATTATCCAGCTCAGAAAACAAAACTCCATAAAAATCATCCACCATAGCTACAAATTTTCTCCACCATCTCATTCGCATTATTGTAAACAGAATACCTGCAAATTCTTTTCTTAATTAATTTCCACGTTGTACTTTATTTAAAATAATTCAAAGATGAACCGAAAAGGCATAAAAGATGTGAGTTCGAAATAAACTATTATGCAATTAACAACGTTATAGCATTATGGAACATTATGTTATATTATATTATAAGAAATTTATTTTGAAATCCTGCTTAATTGACCGATAGTTCTAGTGCATACTGGAAACATTGTGAAGCGTCATTAATTAAAACAATGAACTAAGTTTTCCTAAGGGTATGAGTTTTTGTAAACACGTTGTCACATGGGGATAAATGCAGCTGAAAAATACATTTATTAATAGTATGAATTCGAATTCATATAACGATTGTTATCAGTTACGAAGATCGTTGGTTTGAACTCTCCTTATGTTGAATTATCAGAAGAAATAGTATGTTATTCATCACATATAATCTCTTTATTACCAAAGATAAACACAATCAGATGAATATTAGTGTAAAATAGATGTTAAGTTAGTTTATTTGTAAATCTATGTGCAACAGGATTATTAATTTTAATGGCCAAACGTATTAAGTTAGCCAAATAAAAAGGTGAAATACTACCAGAAATTATCCCAACCAATTCAGTTTTTATTAGTTTCATAGAGATTTATAAGTTACCATTAAACGTTATCAAATTACTGTCAACTAGGTGAAATTTATGATAAAAATGGTTGTTAAATTCACAAGTCAATTTAAGCTTGACCACCACTGAAAACCGAGAAGCACTGGACGGCCATTTCGTTCCAGTGCGGGACTCTTCAGCAGCGCACGCGGAACTCGAACCCAAGACCATTAGTCTCGTTTGCGAACGCGAAAACTCTAAATCAAGGAACCAGCATCCAATGGTACTGTTGTCTAGCTTCGATTGATCCGTGATATTGCTCAAATTTTCATCCGTTGTACGAGGTGGCTAACTGGATAACCGAGATCAGTCAAGTTCAATCCGTGTCCGCTTCCAGGTTTCAATGGTGGTTTAGCTTATATTGACTCGTGATTACAACTTTGAAAATACTACAACTGCCACAAATCCCAAAAGCTGAATAAAATGGTTGTGTTTGATGATCTTTATTTTTTGTTTTGAACAGCATCACAAAAGAAAGATAAGAAGGCCAAATGTAAGAAATTGGATAATTAGTTGCAATTTTTGTAACTCCTAAATTTAACGATGTTTTCTCGGTTTTTCATACACAGAATATCGAATCGAAGAGATCTTGCAGACAAAAAACCGTATTTAGGATTGTGGTGGATAAGATTTATTAGCTTGGTTTATTATTCATCAGTTTTCTGGTAGTGCTCTCAACAGGGCTTTCTTCACAGAAGCGGCTGAATTCGTAGATAGACGTGAATGTAGCACAACCAGGTAACTTATTCATTAGTTGAGGAGTCACCATAGATCCAGTCGAGAATGTTAGACAAAGGTTAGCTGTATCAAACATTTCCTTCACTGCTCTACTCTGTCTATCTCATAGCACGTCACCAGCTGTATCTCCGATGAAGTGCAATTTCTGGATGAGAAATTTCATGCTAGGTGTTGATATCGCTTCCTTCCTGTTTAATAAATGAAAGGTTTTTTCCAGAAAACCTTGTGGATAATCCATTTCAATCTACATATCATGAATAAGCTCTTGTTCCTCGTTTAGGGTATCGTCTGAGAATATGTTACTAGCTTTATTTCTAAGAAATCTTAGTTTTTCTTATAATGAATGGGTTCAATGCTCAAAGAAGGTGAGTACTGTCGAACTGTAGAACTTTTCCTTATGTCTGTGATGAAACCTATCATGGAAGGGAAGTTCTAATTCCTACCGAACTCATCCACTGCAATCTGTAATCCAGTGATCAATCAGCAAAATTCAGTGACTGTGAATTCATCGTTGTTGTTATCTATAAGGAGATAATCAACTACAGCTACAAAATGTAGTCGACCGAGTTCCAACTCAGTGGCTGAATACATGGCTGTTATATATGGTTATTGACACTCTACCATAAACGTTTCAAAACTAAATTAATGATTGTATTTATTTGTTTCCGCCTTTCAGTGATCGTATAGATTAGGGCAGTTAACGATATAGGCTTTTAAATATCATAACAATATGGTGATATTTTATATTTTATCAAGTGTTCATTGTTGGTTGTATAACCTTTTATTTGTTTGATTCATCCAATATCATATATGTTGTTAATTTTATATTTTATTGATAATTTTGTTTAACAGCGTCATCATCAACTTTGACCATCGGTATGTTTTAATCCATAAATTTTACATCATTAATTTCATTTCATTATGCTATTAATAGTCGACTGATTTGTGTACAAGTGTCAAGGAAACAACCAGGAATAAATCATATCGGTATACGAAAACCATGTCAATTTATAAATAATCTTGGATTATATTAACGGACTAAAAGTCTTCTTCATAATAATAGAACTTGGAATCAACCAGAGTTTTCATAACAGCAGAGTTTCCTTAACAGCATAAAATGACAAAAACTTAGACGGATTGGATTAATATTCTTTTGAAAGAAGACACTAAATGTTTTGTACTACATAATTGAACTGAATGACTAATTAAGATTATGAAACAATAGAAAAAGTTGGAGTTATAATATTTCATTAATTATTTGATTGGAATAATTATTAATCTTTTGTTATTTGTTGACTTTTAGGATGTCCAATCGTCTTCATACTTACGCCATTTGTCATTTCAAAGTTCCTTCTTTGAAATTTACAGCTATTTTGAAATATTACTATCAACTGGAATAGTTTTCACTTTCATGTACTCTTCTTCTATTCAATAAATAAATGACTTTGCGTAACAATATATTTTGATTTCTAAGCGAAGATGGATAGTGGCTAGCAACGGAATCTAGGACGCACGTTTCGTCCTATTTGGGACTCGTCAGCTGGAAGTACCTGCATCTCAGAGTTGATGTTCACTCTGGGACTGATCAATTGCAGTCTTAAACCTCAATGGGAAGATACAAGCAAAACAATACCAAGTGTTTTTATTTCTGTTTACCTTATTTCGTCGTCCTATACCATTTAAGCAGAGCGAGAGAGTGTTCATTTGAAATTCTTTCAAAGGTAACTGACGTCAAGTAATAACTAAAACATTAGTGAGTCACAAAAGTTAATCTATTTAACTAGTGAGGCTAGTAGATCAATTAATAGTCATACACTTAGGATTATGTTTTGTACTTACTGAATTGTGGGATCTTTTCATCTCTTGTTCTTTTATCTTCTGGATACTGCCCTTCAAACTTCAACGACTAAACGCGAAGCTTCCGATTCCCTTCCTTCCTTACTTATGCCTGTTACTCCCAGTGTAGCATGGGCCATCAACCAGCATTCTCCAACCCATTCTGTTCTGGGCCTTCTTTTCTAGTTTTATCCAATTGTTGTTTATTCTTCTCATATCTGTCTTCATTTCTTGGCATAATGTGTTCATTGGTCTTCCTCTTTTCACCCGGCCTTGAGGATTCCAAGTAAGAGCTTGCCTTGTGACGCTACCAAATAACTTTTGTTTTTTAAATTTTTATTGTTAACACTTTGCCCTGAAATCATTTTTAAAGCAAAACTTTGTCCCTTATTCATTCAACAGCTACTTTTGAAATCAGTATTACGTAATTTGTTAATAAATGATTGACTAAATATCCGTCACCCAAGTATTTCGAGCACGTTAGGTTTATCCAGGCGATAAATATACAACTATGAACTAAAGTTTTGAGTAATTGTAGTTACCTTAATTGTCGAAATGGATATTTTGGTCATGAATATTTAATCAATCTATTTAAGATCAATTCTAAGAAACAAGAGCAATATATTCAAACTTGTTGACGAAAAAATAAATATCAGTATCGGGTTGTGTTTCGATTAACATCATGAATGAATCAATGTTAGACCTGGGTTTGAATCCTGCATGTGGTATTATGGATGAGCAATCCTAGGATGAAACGGCCTTCAATGCTTCCAGGAAAAAGATATCTGACATATATTGTCATGGAAAGCATTCAATAAGATTACGTTTCTTAATCACATTTCTGAATAGCCTATAGTGATTCATCAACTAAAGGATAAGTTACCCGGTTCTGCTACATCCACGTCTATCTACGAATTCAGCTGCTCCTGTGATGAAAGCTATATTGAGAGTACTGCAAGACAACTGAACCAACAAGTTAGTGAACACCTCCATTCGTGGTTAAAAAAGAGTACCGTCAAAACATTATGCAACTCTGCTCTATCACACTTGATCGATAGCGGTAATGTGGTAAGTAGAAATAAGTCCACTGTGATCTCTGACTGATAAACTGCCTTGATTGGTTTGCAAATTTCATATATGCATATGAATATTACCGTGTCTTAAAATAAATCCTGATGAGGATCTAGTTAAAAATAATATTGTTCGCTATTATATGATACTCTGATTCAGGATATCGTAGTTTTGAATATCCTAAAAACACACTTATATACGAAAATTAATAAAGCAAACATTTATTTAAGATGTTTGGGGAAAGAAAATAATTATAGAAATCTGGTGAAAATGTGTTTGATAAATGACGCGAAATATTCTAAGAAATACAACTTACTTGCTGTTTTTAGGATTTGTAACTGGGAGCAGATCTACAAAATATACTGGTAGTAGAATTTTAGTTGTGTTCGATCAAACATAATACTATACTAGGAATGAGATATTTGACATAAGGTTATTCAGTTTTAGTCAAAGACGAACAACTATAGACTCCAAATGATCGATTTGACATATCAATCATTTAAAATGTATTGATAATTTTATGTAGGATCAGAACTTTAGAAAGTTATACTATAAATACCTAAGATTTGACAGATAAACTCCGTTTCCATTTATTATGTCAAGATGTATTAAACGGACTAATTATTTTAAGCTTATAAAAAAAAAGATTTCCGCCGTCTTTCAGTAAAAGAGTCAGATATATTTGCCAGTCCAAAGTACATCGTTAAAGCAAAGGTAAATCTGGAGTTAAAGAAATCTTACATCACGTAACGTAGATTTTTGATTGAGGTCATGAACCGATTGATGTTAGACCACCATTGAAAACTTGGAAGCACTGGATGGCCGTTTCGTTCTATTGTGGGACTCCTCAGAAGTGCGTATCCACGATCTCACTCGCGGGATTAGAACCCAAGGCCTTCAGTCTCGCACTCGAACGCTTAACCTACTGAAACATTGAGCCGGCATCAATAGTGTTAATGTCTAACCTCAACCAATCCACGAAATTGCGCGACCATCTTCCATTGTACTGGGGTAGACAACTGTTTCTACCCGACACGGATTAGCTCCACTGGTCACGGCTTCCTACCAGAACTCTGAGAATTTTCTCACGAAGCCAGTCATTAGTGAGCACACGGTAATTATTAGTATGGTGGTTGTGGACATTAACACCATTGGATGCCGGCTCAATGTTTCAGTAGGTTAAGCGTTCGAGTGCGAGACTGAAGGCCTTGGGATCGAATCGCGCTAGTGGGATCGTGAATGCGCACAGCTGAGGAGTCCCACAATAGGACAAAACAGCCATCCAGTGCTACCAAGTTTTCAATGGTGGTCTAACATCAATCGGTTCATGACCTCAATCAAAAATCTACGTTACGTGATGTAAGATTTCTTTAACTCCAGATTTACCTTTGCTTTAACGATGTACTTTGGACTGGCAAATATATCTGACTCTTTTACTGAAAGACGGCGGAAATCTTTTTTTTTATAAGCTTAAAATAATTAGTCCGTTTAATACATCTTGACATAATAAATGGAAACGGAGTTTATCTGTCAAATCTTAGGTATTTATAGTATAACTTTCTAAAGTTCTGATCCTACATAAAATTATCAATACATTTTAAATTATTGATATGTCAAATCGATCATTTGGAGTCTTTACAACCACTATAATGATAACATAGATTTTCCAGACAATTTCATGAATCCTTGCGGTCCGATAAACTTCATTTAAATGTTTCTTACCGTCCTTGTCTAATGAAATCTCACATGCAAAAACTGTGATGACGTGATAAATGAACTAATTAAACTTCACTTTCGTGCATCATGTGTATTGTTGAATATTTCTCCATTATTTAATATTGGATTTATTCGAAAAGAAGCTTAATTAGTCTGTTGCCTATGCCAAATTTTTTGATTTATCGATCAAAAATCTCTACAGTCAATTGAATACATTTGTTCCAATCAAGATGAGCAAGTCAAATTGTTTGAAGACGAAATTGGTGGGTAATGCTCGCCATTTTCACAGTTCTAAAATAAGATACATGATTATCTTGGTGTCTAAGCATTTTAATGCCTTTAAAAGTTCCAATGTAGACCAGATAATGTGATCCTCACACATGACAATGGTCATGAGATGGTTGTTATGAACCGATATGACTATAAGGTAAAATACCTATTCTTACTGACAAACGTTTTTGGTGGACGTTCATCTAATTATGATGTTAAAAAATTTGAATCTGGGGTAAATCGCAGTCTACTGAAGCTCTTTACTATAAAAAGTATGAACAAAGAGAATAATAATATGTTACATTTTACCGGTTCTGAACCCCGAATTTACGTAGAATACTTAAAAATCCTAAGCCTAATAATCCATTACGAGCAATATTATCGATGTGAGGTTCACCTACACATGAGCTGGCCAAATAATTAATTAAATTGTTAAATCCTGTCTGCACCAAAATATGTAAGTTTTAGTTAAAAAATACATTTTAACTGATTGATTTTCTTGATAACATTAATATTCAGGAAAAGACTATGCACTTTTTTGATGTAAACTCCCTTTTGACAATGTATCTTTAAGTAAAACTGTTGATTACCTTCGTGATCATATATCGAACAATTTCTCTCTTGTCCTCATGGAGTCAACACTAATGATAGAGCTACTTTTGCTGCATAGTGAAAAAGTTCAATTCACGTTTGAAGGTGAACATTTTCTTCAGTTTGAATGTGTTGCTATGGATATAACTTTAGGATCTATCTTAGCTGATGTATATAAGTCATACGTTGAAAATATGACGAGTGAGTTCAACCACAAATTAACTTTATATAGGATACACATGGGTGACATATTAGTCACATGTGATAAAGCCTTCGTTGCTAATTAATTATTACGTAAACTCAATAGAATGATAACGTACTGACCTATGAAGAAAGTAATGACCGATTACTAGTTTTAAGACATAGTTTTGATCATAATAAGCTGAGATGATGGTAGCTAGCAGTAGAATCCAGGTCGCTTTTGACTGAAGGCAATGTCGAGGCAACGCGCACAGGATGAACGTATGTCATTAAGAGACTGATCGATTGCAGTCTCAAACATCAATCGGCAGATTCAAGCAACCAATACAAAATTAAATAGTTTTGATCAGTTTGTAGGAGACTAACCTGAATTGAAAAATATTCAAATTTTTAGTTTCTGTCCACTGCGACACACACGAGGCTTGGTAAAGTGCCTTTTAAACAAGACTCAAAGAATATGCACTGTAGATACGTTTGAAGAAGATGCGAAACTGCTATCTAACATAATGATATCAAGCAGTTATCCATTAGTGTTCGTCAATAGATGCAAAATTTAGTCTACATCGTAACGTCTAATTCTGTTCCGGAGAAAACTGTTTATATCTCCCTAACATATAGTGGTCAATCAAGCCGTATGATTTTAAGACAGACTAAAAGTACCCATTGAGAAAAAAATAATACACTGTTTGGAATTACAAAGCTCATGATTCCAAATAGACTTAGTGCCTAAACGATTACGTCACACACAATGCATTTACCAATTGAATGTTA